AAATCCACCTATACTTTTTTATTATAAACACTAACCCTAAATTCTAATCGAACTATAAAAAAAAAGCTGAACAAAACACTCCAAAAAAATTTTAAATTTTCATAATAAAATAAGTCAAAATTTCAGCATCATCCCCGACATAAAATATCCGAATTTTTGCTTTTTCTTCTTTTTTTTTTGAACCAAAATTCTTCAGGAAAAATTTTAAAATTATTATCATGAGCCAACCAAATCAAACAACTGGAAACCGACCTTTTGTACCTCCAAACACTATTTCTGTAAACTCAACCTTTAATGATCTCACCGTTGAGCAGAAATATAATAATTTAATTAAAGGCATAGATCTATTTACTAGTGCACAAGAAACAGAAAATCAGGTAGCTCTTAAATTCCAGGACTTTATTCTTTTAGGATCAAATTTTGGATAAACAAAATTATATGTTCATATCACTAAGAACTTTCAAGCGAAGTAAACTTAACGTGTTCTGATATTTGACTATGTATATATTACTTTTATGCGTATAGTAAATCTTTTTAAAATTTTTATCTATACAGTTAACTCTCTAATCCGAACCTCTCTAATCCGAACACTATTAAATTCTCTCTAAACCGAACGAAAAACTCTAGAACATTTGTAACTTTTATTATAAAGTTCGGATTAGCTAATATTAACTCTTTGAGAACCGAACCTGAAAAATTTTTTACGTATAAAAATCCTTAAGGAACATTTTTGACGGAAGAGAGTTGACTGTACTATGTATTTTAGTTTTATGTAGATTATGACTTAAGATTGTAAATAGAAAAGAATGTAAAACAATAAGAAACTTTTTATTCTGTTTTTTCATTACTTTTTTATTATTTCTTAAACCACCTACTATCTTTATGAAACTTGAAGAATATGCTATATATAGACCATGATTCAATATAATTAGGCAGATTTGTCTGTAAACAATTTAAGAGATCATATATAACTCATGTTCGTATCCTATTATTATATTATAAATTCTAATTATTCTATTCTATTTTGAATTTTTTATTATAATTATATTAAATTATTATTATAGATATATATAAAAATTTAGATGTTCAGTCTGTCTAGCATTACGTGATTATGCTACCGTTGTTCAACAATGGGTCGAAGCTAGTGATTTTTTTTTTACTGTGCGGACTGTACTAACACACAGAAATAAAATTTTTGCCACATTTGTTTGAATAGATGTGTAGATGCCGCACAGAAAAAATCTACATTTTGTAAATATTGTGCACAGTTGCAAATAGTTGTTCATATTTTTTATTTTTCACACAGGAAAAGTTTACAAATTGTGCGGTATTCGCACAAGTATTAATTAAAAAATTAACACTGGTCGAAGCAAATAGTTTATTAATATAAACTCTAGTCAGAATATTAATATTCAATGACTCAAACTAGTAGTGCCTAATAAATTTTGAAACCATTTTTCAATTGACAAATAATTAGTAATAATTAATTTATCTAGAAAGGGAGATATTAAAACCAAATGGTCTTTTAAAATAACGCATACTCATGTGATTAGATTAGATCCTGGTTTCTTAATATTGGACCTATAATCAAAAGGTACGCTCTTTTAGATTATTCTGTTCATTTTTGATTATTTTAGATTATTTCAGATTATTTTATATTATTTAGGTTATTAATTCATTTCAGATTATTTCAACCAAAAATTGATTACACAAGCGTTTACTAATTTCACCCAAAGTTTCTATTTGCCATCGGTGAATCGCATTTTTGATAGAGGAAGCAAGATCGGGTGTGTCTACTAATCCTAAAGAAATCACATTATAAAAATATAATCCCAGCAGCATAACAGAAATTCGTATCCGATAGATTCTGAAATCATTGTTACACAAACTATTATAATATGACAATTGAAAATTATATCGTAGTGCACTGACGGGTCCAATACAATCTAACCAAAAGAATAACATGTAAAGTACCCGTGGGCAGTGTTGTACATGGGCTCGGTTGGAATTTACAAATAAGGGCTCGGAAAGTGAAAATAATTACAAATTCGGACCCAAATTAAAAATAATTACATATGAGGGCCTAATTTTTTAAAAATATTACATATAAAGGCCCAAAATAACTGCGACGTTATTCAAGCCTGTTGCTTGATCGTTATTAGCATGCGTAAGAAATGTAAGCATCGATAAATGTAGTTATTAAGTGCATAAAAAATGTAACTATCGATCGTAAATTAGTAATTATAAATGAGAAAGAATTTTTTTTTGAATTTAATAAATTTCATTTTCTTTGTATAAAATTCCTTATTATAATAAACCACTATGATAACCGCGAATTGACATGACATTTACAATATGGAAGATGTTCGTCCAGCTCTAGAGAGCTACTCTGTTGAACTTCTTAGCTTTATAAATAATTGTGGCGGCTTATACTGCAATTTGGGGTCTCTATTTAAATCTATAATATCTGCTAAAATCCACTTATACTCTTTTATTAATAACACTACCCAAATTCTAACCTAAACATGAAAAAAAAAGATCACAAAAAAGGCCCCAAAATTTATAATAAAATACTGCCAAATTTCAGCATAAGCTGCCACGAGAATTGTGCTGGTTTAACACTATTTTTCATACAATATTTAAGCGAAAATGATTAAAACCAACGCTTCATTTATTCTTATATCTAATAATCGGTATATAGATAACTCTAAATGCCTATAATAAAACAATCGATAATCCTCTAATCGCAATTTTCGCGATTTTACAATTGTTATAATTCAAATGGTAATAGTACTTTGTGGTACAGTAATTCCGTGATCACATTTTTTCAGCCATCAATAGAATTGGGCCCTTATATGTAATATTTTTTAAAAGTTAGGCCCTTATATGTAATTATTTTTAATTTGGACCCGTATTTGTAATTATTTTCACTTTCCGGGCCTTTATTTGTAAATTCCCCAGATTTTAACCTGACTGTGATTGTTAATTATCATTCTGTAAAATTCATTTTAATTATTTAGATATTTTATATGCACACAAAGTAAATAAAGGATTGCATAAAACCATGTGCTTAATGAATCATATATCTTTTCTTCTTCACTTGTTTTATCGATTTTATAAACCTTTGGTTTTTCTCGTTCAATGTGATCATTTTATAAGTGAAAGACACACACAGCCAGATCTCTCTATAATCACACTATCGGGATCATAGTGACTTTTTTTAAGATAAATAGTATTATATGAAAGTTATATATGGAGGCTTTTCTTCTATGTAATAATTTTAGAGAATTTTTATGATGTGCTTATACAGAGATTGTAGAGAGGTCTGGTGTATTAATAATGTTAAAACATCTTAACCGATTTTTATCATTTTCACTTAAAAATTCTATTTGTTTCGATAGTTCATTCTTTTGATGTGCTCATCACTTTTAAGGTACGTACTTGTATGCCGATATTTGTATTATATATTGTTTAATTATATTAGATGAATTCATAATTGAAACATATCTATCAATCATTATATACCTGCTGTCGTTTTAACATTTGTTTCTTTCCAGTATTGTGGTATTTGAATCCTCAAATAAATAAATAAATAAAAAAGAATTATTAACTTTGCTTGTCTATAATTTTAAAGTTTGTGCTTATTATACATTAGACCGATACCTAATTTCAGGAGCTTAGCAGGAACGCTACCTGTTCCCAGTGGTATAAATTTATAACCAGCACTATGCATTGCATCGAGGAACGCTACCTAACTCCAGGGGCTAATAGGAACGCCACCTGCTCTCAGTGTACAATTAAAGATTAGCAAGAATTGCTAGCAACTATTTTTTTCAAAGTAATTACTAACCATCCTACAGTCCTAATAAGACTTCACGTCTTTCATCAATTTTATCTTTTCATATGGTCGTTAAAACGCTTCTTCCACGTCGATTTCGAATGTGCAAATTTTAGCGCGGTTATTGAAATAAAGTTCTACGACCCAATCACTCGGAGAGTAACGACGACATTGTTTAGCGTGAAAGTAAAAAATAAAATAAAATAAACACGAATCCTTACACACGAAACTGATACACAAAAATTTAACGTTGCTTCCAGATTTAGAATCGTAAGCATTAAAATAGCGAAAGCGAACGTTATACAAGCGACTTTATTATGTCGATCTTTTTATTAAAGAGTAAACGTTATGAAATGTCTCTACTATTAGTGACAAGCAATCCTTCATATAAAACTTTTACTATCGTTAAAATGGCAAGAAATCATTATGCAAAAATCAAGCAACAATTTATAATTAAATAAAAAAGTAGTAATTGGTGCGAAAAATAAGAATAAATTATTGCGTAAATACTAATAACAACTATTATTAGTAATAAAATAAAAAATATAATCAAAGTACATTACGTAGCTGAATTTTTCATGCTCTGTAAATTTCTTCGTAAATTTGAAAGACCCGAGGTTTTCGAAATTTTCTCGAAAAAAAGATACTTAAGTACCTGCTAATGTGATTTTTGTTCTGAATCGAAAATTTAAACAAATGGTATCTTTAGCTTTTTTAGAAAAAAAAAAACTGGTTTTTTTTTTTTTACACAAATTTTTTTTGAAAATGAACTAAAAACTGGGCTACTGGATCATTTTTTAAAAGTTAATGCTATAAGAATAAAAGAAGTAGAGATGAATTAAGAGGGTTGTAAAACAAGCAGGTTAATTCTGTAAAAAACATATAAAATTTCAAAATAAAGTAATATTATACGTACCGATAATGAGTGTGCAGATAGGATACTTTTTGAGTTCCTACTACCGCAGATGGGACTTTTCCTGAACGGTGGAAAGTATTTATGCTATAGATAAATGCTTTGTTTCTATGTAGCAGGCCGCACCGGATGGTGACTTTGTAACATTCTAACGATGCATAGTTAGACTTATATTATTCTTGATACTTATGTACTGTATATAATGTAACCGTATCTGCAATACACTCCGTTATTTGACAATCTTTTTTGGAGAGCATATAAAAGAGGTTCATAATAAAATTTTAAAGTAATTTAATTAGTCATATATTGCGGTACAATGACTTTATAATAATTTTTATTTAATTTTTCCAATTTCTAATACATTGTTTTCATTTCAGTCGAAACAAAATATTTGAATATATAACATTTTACAATCATCATATGGGGTCTTTCATATTAAAAGGGCCCATTTTGCAATATAAACAATTTTGAGATAATTGAGTTTAATCATTTGT